TATGAAAGATCCCTTTGGCCAGTGTGGGTCAGCTGTCTTGGCTGTGCCCCCTCCCAGCTTCTCACTGGCAGGGCATAAGAAGCTGAAAGTCCTTGACTAGTGTAAGCACTACTGAGCCACAACTGAAACATCGGTGTGTTATCAACATTATTCTCATCCTAAATCCAAAACACAGCACTGTACCAGCTACTAGGAAGAAAATTAACTCTACCCCAGCCGAAACCAGGACAGTGCACATAAGTGTGTATCTGTATGGAAAAGGGTAATTTTGCTGGTGTTTGTCTCTTGTCTCAGTCTTCTAAAGGCTGGGCTATATGGTTTGAATGCTAAAAAAGAAGATACTTCAATGCTTTAAAAAGAGGACAGCTAATTTTTACCTAGATCCTTGTGTTTAGTCAGACCTAGGTTACTCTGCGGACAGTGTAGCGGGTTAAACTCAGTTCACTCAGCTGGGCCAACCGCACAACTGAGCCAACGCAGAAGAAACTGTGAATATGTAAATGTGTGTGGAGAAAAGAACTGAAGGGAGGTGGGACTCCTTCAGTACCAATCAGCTATTTAGATTGGCTTGCTCCTTCACAAGAACTGTACCTTAAACAGAATTAAGGGCATCTTTTATACTCAAAGCAGTGTAGTTCAGCAACAAAACATTGCAAAATTTGCATTAATCGTGTTGATTGCTACACTTAAGGATTTGTTAGCCAACTAAGCAGAGAGTGTATTTTGCAGATTTTTAAGAGTATGTTTAAAAAGAGCCCAAAGGATGATAGGATTTCATTTCCTACAGAACACAGATTTTTATCAGGTATCTTTGATAAAAATCGTGTAGCTTTGTAATTATCAGGAAGATTATAGCTGTGAATCGGTGCATAGAATTAATGTTAAAAGGAATAGATATGGAGAAGCTACTAAGGGAGTTAAAATGGTAGTATTAAGGCTCAAAAGAAATTAATTTCTTTTGCCTTTAAATTATTGCTTATAAAAACTATTAGCAAAGCAATGTGGTGTACAACGAATCAATGGAGTATCAGGGTTAAAATTACTCATGTCAAGGGAATGCAAGAAACAAAAGTTAGCATTTAAAAACATCAACAATTAAAACATTTTGACTGAACAAATACGGTGTTTCATGCCTTCATTAGTCATAAAGTCAGGAGATATAGGGGAGGTAAAGCTATTTAAAAAAAAAAAACGCTATCAGCAATCTAGATGGTACTTCTGGCCTGCAATGGAATGGGTATAAATAACATGACTAAAATTCATTTACTTGTCATATATATGTTATATGTCATATAACATATAACTTGTCGTGTTAATAGTGTTTAACAACTCATAATTCAATATGATCAACAACTACCCTTTGTTACCTGGGTTTTTTTATTCTCCAGTTCCTGGTCGGGGGAGAGGGGCCAGTTCCCACAGCTGACAGAAGCTTCTGGAAAGTTCTGGGGTCTCTGGAAAGCTTGCTGCCTGCAGCTCAGGGAGAGTGGCACTCCCTGGCAAGGATCCATGTAGTGGAAGCAAATGGTGCGGTTTCCGGGCCCGGCTGCCCTTCGCAGCCGGTAACGGTGGAGGACGGAGGTGGCTCAGCTCCTGGGTACCCTGAGACCATCAGTTTTTAACTTTTGAGGAAAAAGAAGCCAGTTAGGTGCTGGCTGGCTGCGTGCTTTTTGGGAAGAAGCAGAAATGGCAGGGGGGTGGCCGGGGCAGTGCTGTGTGGTATGGCGGCCCTGCAGCGCAAGGACCTCTACGACCCCATCTCCTTTGGGAAGGACCGGTGGTGCCCGTCGAGAGGGTGGAGCTGTTGCTGCAAGTGCAGGCCTTGTCCAAGCAGATCCGGGTGGAGGAGCAGTACGTGGGCATGCTGGACTGCTTCACGGGCATCCCCAGGGAGCAAGGTAGGGATCCCCGGCCGCCTCCTCCCCTGGGCCTCTTCCCCGTCCCCGTGCCTTGCCCTCTCTCTCCCAAGCCTTGTAAAACCAAAAGCTTTTAGAAATGCCTCTGAAGCGATGGAGCATCTATTGTGGGCTGTGGGCGTTCAAAGGAGTATGGTGGAGGAGGTGGTGAGGAGGGGGTTACTGCTGGGTACGTCCCCTGCAGGATTTTTTGGTTTATTTGGTAGTGGCAAAGTCATGCTCAGTGGTATTTGTGGGCAGTGTAAAATACCCTTAACGTTTTCCTTGTGATAGTTTTACAAAAGCAGCATTTATTTGGCATCCTCATGTTAATGTATAGGAAAGCATGATCAAAATAAGAAATGAAAACCCAGTTTTGAGTTTTCTTTGTCTTTAAGGAGTCTTTGCCTTCATCCACAGTAACACAAGAAAATCAAGAAGTCTGAATGAAGAGCATGGCTATGCATTACAGAGATGACTGCTGTCACCGCTTAGCAAAGTCTTAACATGGCCAGCCAGTCCAATGTCTGTGAACATCCTCACATACATTTTTTTTCTCACAATCCACATAAGATTTTCTCCTGCAGTACCTCCTAAGCTCTATTTAGCTTCTTATGCATTTATCTTAGTGTTCAAAGGGATCCTTTCTTTAATTTAGAAGAATATAATTACAAAAGCTCTATCAAGTTTCTGATACTTGTGTAAACCGTTCGTCATTGCTTAATATGGAGTGTGAGCACCCCCTATGGAAGCGAAAATGCATAGGCAGGCTACTTCAGGAAAACAATTTCTACACAGTTCTGTGAAATATTCTATTCTGCAGTTTCCGGACTGCAGTTTACACAGATATCCCTCGTCTTAGAAATGTCTGAAGTAAGGAAGTGGAAAATCTTACCTATTTCTCAGCATTATCGATGTTTCACTTGCAGTTTTAGATTTTCTTGTGCTAACACTGAATGCATACATCTGTTGATAAGTGTCAGAATAAATCCGGATTTCCAATACCAAATGCCTGAAAAATAAAGGACCTGAAAAAGAACATTTTTGGCTTTTGTTACAGCTCATACCAAAGAAGAAACAATAGGAGGAATATTGTATAATATACTTGGTGTAGTATAAACTTTGGAAATGTTATTTTAAAGATCTGTTTCTTTTTCTGTAGGATTTTCAGCTTTTGGCATGGCAGTTTGGCAAATGTCATATGGTATTTCCCAACACAGGTTCTAAACTTTGCTTTTAAGGACAAATACAAACAGATTTTCATGTCCAAAGTGGATAAAGAAAAACAGGTAAATAATCTCTTGCATATTAGTTCTGTTTAAGAAACACACTAGATCTAGTCAAGAGCTGTGCAATTCTTTCTGTCAGCATGGTTGGTAATTAGTGGTGGTATATTGATAAGATTTTGTAACGAGCTTATTTTATAATAAGAGGAAGAGCGAGCATGGCTTACTGCATAGCTTACAGTTGCAGGTAATGAAATCTGGTTTTGATCTTTAATGATTAATGACTTTGAGGTGCATGTAAATAACTACTTACAACTGCAGTCAGAATTTTCAAAGTTTTGTCCAGGAAAATTACATGTCCACATGTAATTATTTTGGAGTTAATTGATGCAAGTATTAAGATGGATATTAAAAATCTTGGACTCGAACACCTATGCTTCTGGGCTTTGTCAAAAACCCCAATTACAGTCTCACAGTTAATACTGCATTAACATGTACTCTAGTCTCAAAAACCTTTATGTTTGTAATTTGACTCATGAAATTACAGCTGCTTTTATTCTAATGTGTGAAGTTCTTGGGTTGTGTCCCTCAAGCAGGAGTCTCTCATTTTAATTTTTTTCACATTATTTTCTTGATACTCATTAGTATGTAAGTGTAAGAAAAAACTTACAGATAGTAAAGTGCATATTACTGCCATGGATAAGTACTGCTTCACACTGAAAACTGACTTCTTGCTATATGTAAAGCTAGAAACATACTTATCAACAGTTAAAGCATTTTAAGAACTTAGTTTTGTACAATGCGCCAGAAAAGGAGCAGTTTTAGGTTATAGCTCAAAAAGGCAATTAAACGTTTGGGCTATGCTGCCTTACCTTGCAATTCTGTGTACTTGGGAAAAGTCCCTTAACTTGGATGGATTCTTGAAAGACACAGAGGTCTACACCCATGGAATTAATTACAAGAAATCTTGGTCTTGGAATGTGAAATGTTGATATTGGCATTTGACAAATTACATAAAATTCATTCATATCAGCAGAACGGAAAATAAGGTCTTCTTATCTGGAGAAATGTGAAAATAGCTGGAAAATCGGCTTTATTTGTGTCTGTCTTAGGTTATCTGTTTCAGGGTTTCTTTGGTTAGGTTTTGATAATTTAAACAACAATCCAATGTTCTGTGCTTTCTCTTGTTGACAGTTTTTTACCGCAGTGCCAGAAACTTTTCTTGCCACAGGCTTTTCTGGTGGTGCTGACCAGGAGGAATGCTGTCAGTCATTAAAGTATGATTAACCTCCTTGTATTGCATGCAAATTCTTAAGCAGTCCTTTTTCAATTACAGTAATTTTGTATGTAAAGAGTTTAAGGGTGCTGTTTTCTTTCCTTTCTTACGGTGGAAAAAGTAAAATGTGCATGATGTAAATAACACTGTGTTTATAGTTCTTCAAATCTCCTTTCCGTCCCCTGGAAGTGTTTCCAGATGGCTTACATGTGTATGAGCTTGTGACCCAAATTTTAGAAACATTCCATGAATAGCACTCAAGATTAATTTCTTTAGAAGTATAGTATTTAGCAAAGTAGCATATCCATTGTTGAAGCTCAGTCTTTGGATCCTTTCTTACATGTTTTGTGCAGGAATAGGAAATGGGGAAGACAATATGGTTACATGCGTTAGTTTTTGCTTAGCTGAATTATCTTCAAAAAAAATAATAATTACTAAAACCTTTAGATTGTGAAGTGCGAAGGAGCTTCTGTTAAAGAAGACAGGCTGTATCGATGTGCCAGACACTTGGTATTGAAGGTAATACTGGCACAGTCAAGCATGTTCAGATTGCAGCTGCCACCTCTCCTGCTTGCTACTAGCAACAGTTTATGCAGCAACATGAGCTACAGCAGGTTGCAAAGCCTTCTGTACAACTAATAAATAATATTAGGGCAGTTAAGCTATGCTGGACTCCATACTACTACAGCTACAGTGTTGCAGTTACTGAATCGGCAAATAGAAAGTGATTTGGGGTACGTCTACATGGTCTGCATTTACTACACAAGATGTACCTGTGATGCCGTTTAAGGCAACAGAGCTACGTCAGATATCACTGCCTAAAAATGTTATGCAAAATGTTCCTTCTACAGTGATTAGCTTTTTCTTATTTGGTAAACGGTATGGGCCAGAGTGAAAGTAAAAGTACATTGATTTTTGTTTCCCCGTTCGCCCATCATGGAGAGTTGATGCACAATTGTTGCATCGGGGAGATCCACAGGCCGATTGTTACGGACGACTGGATGATTATAGATGAGAAAGACGTTATCTGCTATCTGGGTCACATGAGCACCATATAATTCAGAAGCTGAAAAAGGAAATGGCTTATAAATAGTTTTTAATAAATGTAAGAATAGCCAGGGAATCTTTACAAGTAGAAATTTTGAAATACCAGGTATATAAATAGGTCTTACTCTGAGACTGCCATGTTTCTTTATTATTTTGTAAATAATACAATGTTTTAGATAGATCTTACTCTTCATGCTTTGAAGTTTCATTTAGTATCTACAACAAAGGTCAGTATTATAGTATTGTGATACTGTATTTTCATAACTGCATACAGCAATTTTTGTGTTTCGGTTCAGAAAGTGGTTTTTTGCAAATCTGGCTTTCTGGCTGAGCAGCAGGAGCAACATCCATGTGTGTAGTGTACCCGTTAGACTTCGCACGAACTCGTTGAGCTGCTGATACTGGGAAAGGTAGTGCAATCTCTTAAATGGCAGTTCCAGTTTCATCTGATGTGCCTCAGATTGTTTATATTAACTTCATTTTAGAGGTAGACCAATATTCAACAGTATTAGAATTTTTTCTATTACTTAAAAATTTACCATTGCACAATTACAAACAAAAGTATTAAGAAATGTAAGATCTTTATTGAAAAGGAGAGGATGAAGGTGAGTGAAGGAGGATTCTCTGGAAATAGTGTTATAGCATAGCTCTCAAAGTTTTGCGTTATTTTTAGATTCTGTATGGAAAAGTTTAACTGAATTTTGCCAACTTTGGATGCCAGAAACTAGAGGAGTTTAATTTTTACTAACCTATGGTTTTACAGGGTGTCATTTAAAGAGCTAATGACCATCCTTGTTCTATACCAAGAATATAAACTGAAGATTTTCAACAAAGATTTTGGGTAGTATATGTCTCTAGATGTATGTTTCATTCATTCAAATAGAGAAAACTAATTTCCTAAAAACAGTGTCTGGAAGGCTTTGCCGCAGCAAGAAAGAAATCTCTGCTTTCTGTTTTGTTGTTGGCTTTCCTGATTTGCCTGCAATGGAATTACTGTCTGTGCTGTGCAGGGTTGTCCCAGGAATTGGCTGCTTGACTCTACCTAGTGCTTTCTGTGCCCTGTACTTGGGCCAAATTAATACTTTCATGATACCTTCAGTGTAAGAAGGTGTACAGTTTGACGTTCTTCCTTCAAAGATGGGTTTATTGCTTGCTGTGTTTTCACCTGTAGAGAATCCTAAGAGCTTGAGTGTGGATACCATACCTGTGGAATGTGGAAACATGAAGAATCTACAGATAGAAAAGGTGGATTTTTTAACTTTTGTCACAGCTTGTGGCTAGTGTTCCACTATAGGGAAAAGCTGAAACAAGTAACACTTCTAATAAATTTGAGTATGAATGTGTGGGGAGGAAGTGAAAGCATGGTATTATGTAGAAAAAGTTCTTTTCAGAGAGAGGGTAAGAGAATTCATACATAAGCATTCTGCTGAATGAGGACAAAATTGGAATGGTAGTTATTTGATCTGAAAGTGTTTCAGCAACTGGATACCACTATCTGTTTGAATAAACTGTCTTCATCCATCCATCCATGTCTCTCCATTTCTTCTTTATGCTTCGTTCGTAAGTTCATAAGTGGAGGAAACAGGATCTACTGTGTTTTTCATATAATTTTGGTAATGTTATAAATGGTTCAGTCATGCAGAGCAGTTTGTACTGAAGAGAAGGGCTTCTGTAAAGCATAACAACGTGTGCACAAATTTCTTTCATATTAGGTGCTGCTGAGCGACAGTTCCAGGGACTTAGTGACTGAATTATTAAAATTGCGAAGACAGATGGACTCCCTGGCCTGTACCAGCGTTTTGGTGTTTCAGCACAGGGAATCACTGTATACTGAGCCTCCTATTTTGGATGTTCTGACAGCATTAAGGTAGCTTTTACAAACAAAAACGCACACATTTTAAGTCTATCATGATATTTTAGATATTTATTATGAACTAACGAGGGTGTTAGTTACAGCTTTTGTCTCTACAGTTATTTGTCCTCAATAGAGTATATTACTGAAGAGCCAAGTCATTTTACAGTAGGATTAACAACTGAATGATCAAAATTATACTTGATATCTGCTGGATTTGACATACATTTTACAGAATTTGTACCGGCTTCCATTTTTGTTTTATTTTGCAGGGATTATTGCCAAATGCAAAACAAACTCCATTCATTCTTTCCTTTTTCATTGCTCAAGTTGTGACTACTTGCTCAGGAATGCTGTCTTACCCTTTGGACACTGTCAGGAGACGCATGATGAAGCAGGTACGGTCTAGCTTGCAATCCTTTTCTGAAAATTACTTACTAGATTTTTGAAGTTTGATGTGCTAATTGAAGCGCTGTATAGCCTTACAGCACGCCAGACTCTATTCAGAAAAAAAGTGGAAACATCTCCATAAAGACAAGAAGAAAAATTCAATAACAGTATTTTGGAAGTCTGGTAAAAGTATGTTCAGTTCACAGCTTGGTGAGAGCGTTTAGTAGAAAGACAGGATCTGTTTTCTTTTTCCTACTCAGAAGCCAGATATTTGGCATAGGACAGGTTTGTGGGCAGAATAATATCCTTTATTAGCCCAGCTAATGCAGTTAGAGAAATAATCTTTGTGGCAGACAGCTGTTCTTCAGGTGTGAGGTAGAATCAGTAATCTTCAAAGCTCAGTAAAAGCCGAGAATTATTTCTCAGCCTGTGATGGGTATGATAGTGTGTTATTAGCAGTTAATGTTGGATCTTGTTGCTAGTACAACAATATACTGCTAATACAAATTCTTGCTATGACGATCATCCTCAAACATGAAATAAAAAACCACAAAAATGCTCTTGAAAAATCAGGACCTTGTTCCCTGCATCCGTGAGGAAGTTTTGCCATCTGATAGTAGAAAGGAGTTGTTAGTTCCAAAGAAGCGTCTCTACGTTTTGTTTCAGGAACATCTTCTTTTCTCTCCATGTTCCAGAAAGTCAAAAGAAAATTAGAATAAATGTTGGCATAGAACTCGCTTAGGTGCTTTCAAAAAATTCCTAGGAGATACTTAGATTCTTACGTAATGCCTGCATACCTCTGGTAATCTTTCCTAAATAACAGAAATCCTTGAAGCTTACAGTGGGCAAACACCATTAGCACTACTGACTTCCTCCTTTCAGACTAAATATGATTTCACTGCCTTCAGATTCTGCTTTATCTGCTTAATCAGCAGTAGGCCTATAGTTAATGCTGTCTTTATTTGCAAGTACTGTGCTTTTTGAGGCTTTACCAAAAAATTGCCTGTATTTCTGGTAATTAACTTACCACTAGGATAGAGAATAGTATCAAGGCTATTAAAAACATAAATTATAATCATATGAAATAAGGTAATGCGTTTACTAGCACAAAAGAGGATGAGAATGAGAGGATGTATATACGTTGTGGACGTATAAATATATTTCATGTGGTGTCCTTGTTTCATTCATGCAGTTTTGAAGCTTCAGGTACAAATAAAGCTGACTAGTATGATTTTTATCAATTTCTTATCATGATGCTTATTCTGATCCAAGAGGAAGCCCTGAATTAAATGTAGCACCTTTTAATTCTTCAGTTAAATTATATTTGCCAGATGGGATAACTTTCTGAAATAATGAGCACAGTACAGTTCCTGCTTTCAGCAAAGTTGATTTCTGTCAGCTAAGCAGTAATAACCATTACCAAATATCCTTTCATTTGCATATATTCATGTAGATTCAAACCACAATACTTTAAATGCTTTTCAGCCACATTACTACGCTTATTTATATTGCTTTATGTGAATATTTATCATAGATGTGTTTCCTGCATTTATTATGTTCAGGAAATCTATAGTGATCCCATACCTTAATTCCTAACAGAAGAGGTAACAAAATGTAACACTGTCTTCATCAGAAAATTCAAACGTCACTTTATTAGCTGCAGAGTACATCACAAAGGCCTCAAGAAGGCAAGATTATCTTTCTGCCATTATAGAGAGTCTAGAACCTTACCTTGATATTGCAGGTGGATTTGACTTAAGATGTAGCTAATTTAAGTCAGATCTTCAACATTAAGTAAAAAAAATAGTGTCTTCTTTCCAGTAGGATTTCACACTGAGGTAGGGATTTTGGATTAATCTCTCCGAAAAAACAGCGTACTTGTTTTTTGCTAGTGAAGACAAAAAACAGTGTCAGTTCCTAATAGTCCTCAACTCCTGAAGAGACTGCAGTTCCAAAACAGGAATTGTTTGACAGTTCACCAAGCACATCTGCAAAAAACCCTTTGTCAGAGCTGTGGTGTTACTCAGAGTATCGGAGAGATTTGCTGTCGTCACTATGCCGAGTTCCACAGCGGGTGAGAGTATTCCCCAAGTGTTCTGCTGTGCAGAGAACGGCTACATAACGTTCCTCTGGGCTGTCTCTACTACGCTGTTGAAATTTTCAAAACTTAAAGGAGTTGGCACGATTTTTAGTCATACTGCACCTGGAAAAAGCTGAAGGGAGAGTTCAGTGCTTGAGCTCTGACTTGTACAGGAACGGTCATATGCGTGCATGTGAACAATCACTGCTTGTCATCCTTTCTTTCCTTCACCTGTAAGCACTTGAAGCAAGTTTGAGTGAACATGGTGCTGAGGTTTCTAACTAACAAATCCTCCTTCTTGCTTTGTTTTCATTTATCCAGCAAATTAATGCTCAGAAACAAGGTGGGCTAGATGAAAACTGGACTGCACTCCTTCCTAGCCTATGCTTTTACGTAACCGTGCTAGTCAAGACCTTCACACTTTTTAGAGGACTCTATTGATTACTAATGAACTGAAATCTGCTTGGTATAAAAATATTTCAGTGGTACTAGAGAAGGAAAAAAAATGAGCTATGGAAGTTTTAATAGCATTGAAACAATTCAGAGCACCCTTAGGACTGGAGTGACCTCATTTAATTCCTAAGCCTTCTACTTGTCCAGTAAAGCTTAAAAGAAGCATCAGAAGAAGGATCACAGCCTTTCTAAATATAGCTGTTGGAACCAGCTAACAGAGCACTGCATCAGATAAATATTTATTAGTTAAAAGATCACTCCTTTGCAGTAAGTGAAACATTAGGAAAAAGTTCCTTAGTGTTCTTTACTAAAGAAAGACAAATTTTGCTGGGCATCTAAGTCTCTTTCTCAGTGCAGTGCCATAATGATTTGTCCTTATTCGTGTGCAGAGCAGGGAGACTGAACATCAATAGAAAGGAACTGATGACTGCTTTCTGAAAATACACGAGCGAGAGGGGCTTCATGCTTTCTTCCATGGAGCATTCCCCAACATCCTTCGTGGAGCAGGAGGAACCTTAGTGCTAGTTCTTTATGACAAAATCAAGGACATTTTTAATCTCGATGTTTCAGAGTTCAGGAACTGATTAAAATAGTGAGTGAACATCTATTTTGCTTGTACAGTGTTCATGGTAAGAATTCTCATTGTTTGCATGGCATATTTTTAGTTTAACTGTTATAAAAACAATACTTTCAAGAAATTATTTGCATGTTTTTGTGACTAAGCATGTACTAAATTAAATAATTTGTTTTCAGGGAACTAAAGAGCACTGTTTTCATTTCTTGAATGAAATGAATCCAAGAAAATACTTGCCTCTTGTTTAAAATTCTCAATGTTTCCATTTTAGCCATACTAAATGTTACACATCTTGAATTTTAAATTATGGCATGTACCTGAATATATTTCGGTAACAGCAGTTTCCCTAGCCTGTCAGCAGAGCCCATTGCAAGTATGTGTACGTATCAGCCTGCTACAGCTTCTACAGGAACCACAGTAAAAGGAAAACCTGTTTCTAGCCTGTTGATGTGTTTTCATGGTATTTTAAAGCACAAGTCAAGACAGCAAAGGAGTTTACGTGTGGATTTTTTTTTGTTTTAATTGGCATTCAGAAATACAGCAACTCACTTTTCTCTCTGTCCCATCCCTCAAACAACATTGAGAAGACTGTAGTCTAGTTGGCAGCATCTTAAGCCAAAACACAGCCCAAACATGTGGAGACCCAAGCGCCTAGTGACTTGAACACTTAACGCATTATTTCTTGAGGAAATTTAAAATGGCTGAGGATTCTTCTCAGTATTGAGGATAAATCTTACAGCGTACATAAATGAGGGTACTCTTATTTCTGAGGTAATAATTTTCAATAGGGAAAGGAAAGAGAAACCAAACCTTGCGGAATATTGGTAACTTAGGGACTCAAGAAAGCATTTATTAGGCCTTTATTTAAATGTTTGGTTTCATAGAAAGTAAGGCTAGCAGCATTCCTAACGTTTCTCCACAACCATTAAGTTTCACACAAAACAGTTCCTTGAGTGACTACAAACATTTTTTTAGCTGATAAAAAGTCAGATGTGATCCACAGGCCAGGAATTGGAAGGACTCGGACAACACCGATTCCAAGGTTGCTACAGTGACAGTAGATGACTGGGGGGGGATACGCTCAGGCAAGTTTGTGGCTAATCTGACGTGAGTGAATTTTGTTCATACTCACAGACTGGGCAATCAGTATGACACTGGAGCACGCAGACAGGACTTTTGTGAAATACTTTAAGAGTTTGGCTTCTCCTGCTTACGATCTCATCTCCAACTCGTAACAGTCTTACTCTTGACAAAGCAAATAAAAAGTCCATTGGCACTTTTCTTGTCGCTATCATGAATGTCTACACACATCTGCGTCCCTGACTGTAGCTTGAAACCAGCTGGCTTGGTTGCCAGAAACAACACTGCAGTGGCAGCACGAAGCTGCGTACGGGCTGATTTATCCCGCTGAGATGTGAGACGTGCCAGCACTTCTGCAGTGATGGCTTGTCCCCCTGCTGCAAGGTTGCACAATTTCTTCCGGGCCTGGCTTAGTAATGTTGCATAGCTACACAAGAGTATTTGCATATAATCTCTTGGCCCAAGGTTTCTTTTCAGTCAGGAGTTAGCCTCAGGTGGTGCTGTGGAAGTGGGATGCTGCAATCCTTTGAATCACCGAGAACTGGTTTTGTAACAGGGATTGAAAGAGCAGAGGAGAAACCGGAGTTGGGATTTGTCTCCCCGGCTCCTGCAGATGGGACTGGACCCGGTTTGCCTTTCTGATGCCAATACTAGCAAGGAAAATGAGATGGTTAATTGCTCGTACTAATAAATAGTAGTTGTGTTGTAAATAATTTAACAGTGGCTTCTCTTGCTTCTGGAGGTTTTAGAGGGCAATGTCATCAGTCATCCTCCCTAGGAAAATTCTAGTTGTGAAGTAGACCATTGAAACAGTAACAAACGGAGAGATAATCAAAACTCTTGACAGGGATGCAAATCTAGTTTAGTGGTTTAGCATTTATTTTTAATCTCTCCAGTGGAACAAAATTGTGCGGTGCAGTGTCACATGCTGTGTCAGAAAGATGTCATATTGCTGTGTGAAATTGAGATGTCATTTTTAGAAGCAAATAAATACTTATGGAGCCTTTCCAGCCTGTGGGTATGTTTTGTAGAGTTTCAGTCCTCCATACTTGAAACGACACCCATAAAAAATGGGGTAACTGCAGTAGAGATACTCTGGCTTCGAGACACCTTTTTTCACGGACAGAAAAATGACAACGAGGAGGGCGCTTCTGGGAATACGTAGGCACAAACTGGGGACAGCTCTTCCGTATCTTGGCGGTGGGAGGGAGAAAGGTAGGACTCCCAAGGTCCGAAGTCGCTGCCCGCCGCTGGCACCCGGAGCAATCCCCACCCGTTTGGGACACGAAGGCCTGGGTTTCGCTTTCGATGCCGAACTCGGCGTCCGGATGCAGGGCTAACCCCGCGCCTGGGGGCTCCGGGGGTGTTCCCAAGCTGCCCCGCCCACCCCTCTCCTCCAGGCACTCGGGGTCCTTGCCCCTCTCCTCGCCCCAGCGGCGAGCGGGCAGGGCCCTGGG